AATAAAATTAAATAATTTTTAAAAATTCTATGTATAAAGAGAAGGACCACATGTGGCCACCCTCAGTTCAAAGCCTGGTCCCTACAGCTTTAATGTCAGGAATGTCATGGGTGTGCCCAAAATTCCAAAGGAAAGAAGAAATTGAGGAAAAAGAATTAAGGCACGACCATGTCGCATTGAAGTTCACGCTCTCTCTCACTCTCTCGTGAACACATATACCCTCTAGCAGTACAAAAAAAATGTTTTTAATAAAACAAAGAGAATAAATGAAATTTTGTACTTCAAATTACAATTGGGAACCAGCAGTTAGTGTAATGGCTATGTCGCTGGACTCCCACGTAGTCGACCGCAGTTCGCGTCCCGGACTCGGTGGCTTAAAACTCACACCAGGCGCATGTGCGTGCCTGCCCAAAATCCCGAGAGGAGAATGGAGGAGAAGGGATTGCGGCGTGACCATCCCCCCTGGGGGGTGATTTTTCACTTTCTGTCTCTCTGTCTCTCTCTGTCTGGCGAGCGCACGCACCCTATAGCGAAAAAACCTTTCCAAAAAGAAAAAAAAAATTACAATTTTAATTATGAAGATTATGGGAGCTTATGAAATGATTATAATGCAAAGTCATGAATGTGATAACATTTACTGAAGTTCTATCGGGTGTCTGGAAGTTCAGTAAAAGTTGGGAATAAAATGGACAAGTGGTAGAACCCGCAGATGGCATAATAGCTACATCGCTGGATTCCCATGTAGTCAACCATGGTTCGAGTCTCAACACACTTGGCGCATGTGCATGTGAGCCCAAGATCCCTAGGGGAGAATGGAGGAGAAGAGATTGCGGCATAGCCATCCCCCTGGGGAGTGATTTCTTGCTTTCTGTCTCTCTGTCTTTCTGACAAGCACACGTGCCCTATAGCAAATACTTCTCAAAAAAAAAAAAAAAGAACAAATGGTAAACAATGGGGTGCCAGCCCACTGGGAACTCAGGTCAACAGAGATTTCAGGAACTCATGATATTGAAGAAATGTTGAAACATAACATGTACTATGTACTTGTCAATCTTTGGAAGTGGTCCCTTGATCTTTCATCAAAATTATTTTCAAGTTATAAATAATACAACAACATTGACAATGTCATTTCTCAGAATAGAACAAATTAATAACAACAGATTAAAATAGCAACAGATTACCATGTGATAAAAGGTAAGTATAATGGGCCAGCAGGTGACAGGGTGGGTGGTTAAAGTGCTAGACTCCTACATGGATGACCATGGTTCAAGTCCTGGGCCTGGTGGCTTGCTATCTCTCTCTCTTTCTATTTCTCTCTCTGTCTTTCTCTGGTGAGCACATATGCCCTATACCAAATTTTAAAAATAATAATAATAAATAAAAATTAACTAAAAAAAAAGGTAAGCATACTTTTTATAATCTGCAAGAGTACAGTCAGTAAAAAATGACTTAAGGGACCAGCAGGTGGTGTGGAGGTTAAGGCTCTGGGCTCCAACATAGCCGACCATGGCTCAAGTCCTGGACCTGGCAGCTTACTTTCTCATTTTCTCTTTCTCTCGCTCTCATCAAATTGAAAAAATAAATAAATAAATAAAATCAAATAATTCTTTGAAAAATGATTTAAAAGTTTGCATTTCAATTCGGATCAGTAATTGTAGTCATAAACATGCCATAAGCCAGGGGTCAGCAGGTGGCATTGTAGTTAAAGTACTGACTAGATTCCCATAAGAAGAGAGACAGAGAGGGAGGAAGTGATAAATCACTCCCCAGTGGGGATGGCCACACCATAATCCCTTCTTCACTCTCCTCTCAGGATTTGGGCACACACACACATGCCCAGAGCGATTTTCTTTCTTTCTTTTTTTTCTTTTTTCTTTTTATTTTTTTGGAGAAGTTTTTGCTATAGGGTGCATGAGCTTGCCAGAAAGACAGAGAGAGACAGAGAAATAGAAAGTGAGAAATCACCCCCCAGGGGGGATGGCTACACCGCAATCCCTTCTCCATTCTCCTCTCGGGATCTCGGGCACATACGCACACATGCCTGGCGTGAGTTTAAGCCACCGGGTCCAGGACTCAAACTGCAGTCAACTACATGGGAGTTCAGGGACATAGCCATTACACTAACTGCTGGTCCTCAGAGTGATTTTCAAGCTGTCTGGTCCAGGACTTGAATTGCAGTTGACTTTGTGGGAGTCCAGCCCCTTAATCACCACACCACTGCTGGCACCCCCAAAATATATATTTTTTAATGAAGCAAGAAGAGGGAATCAGGGTGCCCCCAGGATGGGAGTGGCCTGAATACTGTTAGGCCCCTAACTGCTGCCCTTAGCTCCCAAAGCTGTCCTGATATGGGATCTGCTCCCCGCAGAAGAGAAGCAGAGCAGGGGAGGGGGCTGGAGTGGAGCGGGGGGTGTTGAAAGGAGGTAGTGAGGCGGGAGGGCAGAGTGCGTGGGGCTCAGGGACCCCTCATCATCCAGACTGCACTGATGTTACCTCCTCTCCCCGGAGATTCCGGGACCCAGTGGCTTTCTCTCTTCATGGCTGTCAGCCCTCATACTGCCTCCTCAGCCTCTCCCCTTTGCCCCCACGCCCCACCTGGTTATGGTGGTTCAAATCCCCTGCCCGGTCAGCTTGAAACCTGCCAGGTGTGTGCGCGAGTTCCAAGATCCTGTGGGCTGGAGGGCTGGAGGAGGCAATGGCGGCATGACCAGCCCCTGTGGAGAGCACTCGTCCCACTCCGTCTCTCTCACGTGCACACGCACTTGCTCTACCATGGATGAAGAAAAGAGTAAATAGAGCTGTCCTATGGGGTCCGATGGTGGCATAGCAGCGACACAATGTTCTGGGAGGTGGACCCACATGGGAGGGTTCTGGGTTCATGCCCAGAGACTCCCTGAGTACAGGGGACACGGAGTATGTAAATAATTAGGGGCAGAGGCCTGGAGAGCGGGAGACAGGAGACAGGAGAGGAAATGAGACAAATGCTACCGCCCCAGGAGTCAGAGGCGGTGCTGAGGCCCAGCTAAGCTCTCCACCGCATCCTCCCGTGGCATGTGGCCACCACAGCCCGGCACGGTAGGCACAGCCATTAGCTCCCTTTTACAGAGGAGACAACCGAGGCTCAGGGAAACCGAAGGACTTGAGAAAAGGGGCACAGCTAGTAAGTGGCTCAGCCAGAAGCTACATCCAGGTTTGCCCCTCATTCCAGAGGGGTGACAGGGAGGGTGGCAGCAAAGGCAGGAGGCCGGGGAAAGGAGAGGTCAGGGGAAGCAGGCAGGGGCTCACGTGGCAGGTAGGTCTGGTAGACACGGGTCACTTCCTCGGCGAGGTCAGACAGTTCGCAGGAATTCAGGGCTTCCGTGAGCGAGCCCACCCAGCCAGTACGGCGCTGAAGGATGTTGAAGAGATCCCAGAGGGTGTCCCGGTTCCCCAGGCGCGTGTAGGAGGCCCGTAGGCGGTCCTGGAAGATAGCAGCACCGGGGTCCTGCTCGAGCCAGGTGGCCCAGCCCTCTCCCACCCAGAAGGACGCAGAACCTGTGGAGCTGCAGAGAGAGGCAGCCACCTGGACTGCCAGGGAGGAAGAACAATCAGCACTGACCCTAAAGGGAGCTACCGGAAACGACGTCACTTCGGCCGCTGTTAAGGGCTTCGCATGAATTGCATGAACCATCTTATCTACTGCTCTTATTATATCCCTATTTTCCTGATGAGGAAACTGACGTTTAGCAGAAGCAAAGTAGTAAAGATCTGTCAGCAGGGAGGCAGGAAGCCAAACCCAGTTAGTCTAATCAAAAGCCTTGGGCTTCTATAGCCTCTGGGGCAAAAAGAAAGGTTTAGTTTAGCGGGAAGCAAAAATAAGATGGACAAAAGAGGAGACGGGAGGTGCAACGGTAAGAAACAAGGACCTGAGAATACTGGGCAGATTCTGGGGAGGTGATGGCAGTGGCAGAGACTTTATATCTCCTGGAATTAAAACAATAAAATAAAACAAAATATAAATAAAAACCAGCAACCAGATAGCAGAAATAAAAGTCCGCAGATGATATTTACCACAAAAGTCGGCGATGGGTCAGAAGATAGTGTGGTGGTTAAGGACAGGGACAGGGTCCCGCCACAAGGAGGATGGAATCAAAACTGAGCAGGACAAGGACAAGAGAGAAGGTTCCCCCAGAAGGAGGCGAGAGGCCAGGAAGTATTTCTGAGCACTACCCAGAAACAACGCAAGAGGGAGCTCGGCGAGGTGAGCAAAGCCACTCTGAGCCACACTTGAGCTAAGTTAGGGAAGCGGCCAGGATGCAGAGCAAGAGCCAGGACCAGGTTAGGAGGGGAGAACTAGGCTGGGCCTGAGCCTTGAATTCCACAGCCCTGCCCCCTGCAGTGGCCCCGTCAGTTCCCTGGCTCACCTGGTCACTTGCTGTGAGGCAGGACAGGTAGGGCAAAATCTCCAGCACATCCACACGGCAAAAGTTGCTGTGATGGTGGCAGATATACTTATAGGTCTTGTTCTCGGCAAATGACATCGCCATTCAGGTTCTGGAGAGAGAGGGCTCTGGGCCGGTGAAGGGTGGATGGACTGAGCTTGGCAAAGACTGGAAGAAAAGAGATCACACACGGCAACAGGGTGGGTTGTGGCCTGGACAGAAGGCCATTCTTTCTCAGCTTCCGGGAATGTTCGCGTTTTTCTTTTATCTTCAACTTCATTTAACATTTGATTTTATTGTTGCCCAGGTCCCAGAGGAGCTCGAAGAACTTGTTTAAAAAATAAAATGATCGGGGGCCAGCAGTTAGCATAATGGCTATGTTGCTGGACTACCATGTAGTCAACTGCAGTTTGAGTCCCAGACCCGGTAGCTTGAAACTCACGCTGGGCACGTGTGCATGCATGCTCAAGATACCAAGTGGAGAATGGAAAAGAAGGGATTGCGGTGTGGCCATCCCCTCTGGGGTGTGATTTCTTGCTTTCTGTTTTTCTGTCTCTGTCTGTCTGGCAAGTGCATGTGTCCTACAGCAAAAACCTCTCCCCCCCAAAAAAAAAAGAAATGATGGTGTATGGTGGGACCAGCAGGTGGCATGGTGGTTAAGGGCGTTGCACTCCCACATGCTTGACTGTGGTTTGAGTCCCAGACCAAGCGGCTTGCTTTCTCACTTTCTCTTCTCTCTCTCACTCTGTCCCTCTCTAGTCAAACAAATAAATGAATAAAGTAATAAAATAATTATTTGGGGAACCAGCAGTTAGCGTAATGGCTATGTCACTGGACTCCCATGTAGTCGACCGCGGTTCACGTCCCGGATCCGGTGGCTTAAAACTCACACCGGGCGCATGTGCGTGCGTGCCCAAGATCCCAAGAGGAGAATGGAGGAGAAGGGATTGCGGCGTGACCATCCCCCCTGGGGGGTGATTTCTTGCTT